TAGCCGAAGTCTAGAAGACAAGCATAGAGAAAAATAGCCATTTCGTGAAGCCATTGAGGAGATGGATTGTACACGTAAACTTATTCTGAATCAGTTCATTTTTTGTATCCAGTCTGAATTTCTGCAGACATTGCCCCATGTGCAGTAAAGATGAAACTTTTGTGAAAGTACCTGTGGCTCTGGATCCTCAACTTTGGAAGGGTGTTAGACTTTGTCCTTAGAGTTGCTTATACAGAAAAGAGTTCACATGCTTTTCTCTGGAGCATTTGGTTTTGAGCTGGGTATCCGATGACTTCTGAGTTCCCAAAACAATTGAACTCCTGGTCCCTTCATCTTGCTCTGTGTGTCTCAGTGTGTTCTTTCCTTAGAGAGTTAGTGAACAGATTGTCAGGGTGGCTGCAGAATCTGTAGCTAGTCCAGTGTCGCTGCCCATGTCTTTAGTACAGTCTTTGTGCACAGGCTAGTAGACTCCTTGGGCTGTCCTTCTTTCAAAAACAGCATTTGCTTTTAGCAGTTAGGGTTGGAGCATGGGTGACAGCTCTTCCTTTTTCTTGTCACCCGTCTGCACAGGGAATTTCTTGTGTCCTCAGATTGTCATCTGTAGGATCTGGATTTTGCCTCCACCACCACCCTGTATTTACCAGTGATTGTCGCATAGTTCTTCTGCCTGCTGTTTTGCCTCTTGGTGACATTCATATTGCCCTATTAGTGACACAACCATCGCTGCCTATTTTTAGCTGTCTTAATCTGCCGTCTGTGTTGCTCTTTTGGTGTCATGACTCTTCTGCCTGATCATCTGAGAAAACAGTTGGCTCTAGGAGGGTTCTCCTTTTCTTCTGCATTGTGTTAGAGTGTAGTGAAAAGCGAGCATTTCTCTCTCGTGCTCAGGGTTTGGTCTGGTTTTGTGTTGCGTTGTTTTCTTTTGCTTCGCCTTCCACTCTTGCCTCCTGACTCCCTCCTGTGTTTAGTTTTGTTTAACCCACAGTTTAAGTCCTTCTGCAGAAGTTTTGGGAATTAGATCTTTATAAAGCTAAAGTTTATTCTAGGCAATGTTTAGACAAAATACACATAGTAATTCTAAGCCCATGTATGAAGCCAGTGGAGAAATCTGAGCATTGTAAAGAGATGGAAAACAGTCTGTAAGATTATTTTAAATCATTCTAATACAATCGCTCTTTAAGCTCTGTAGATAACACTATTTTACTAGCTTTCTGCATCTCTTTTACTTGTACAATATAAATGTGTTATGGCTAGAAGCTTGTTGTAAGCCTTAATTATTTTTTCTGAATAGATAGTAGTTGACACTGCAGGTTATAACAATCCAGAACTATGGGAAAGTGGGACATGTCTGTTTATTATGTGATTTTTGTCAAAGACAACAAAGGCAGATACATAATAACTACATGAGTTCTCTTCAGGTAGCATTGAAATTAAAGGTTGTGTTTGGTATAAATATTCAAAAATTTCTCCTTTAGGAGCCAGCCAGATAGCTCAGTGGACTAAAGTCCACAGAGACTGGGGTTCCATCCCCAGCATGCTGTGCCGGCCCTGCCTCCCCGGGGCAAGCTGAGACAGTGACTGAGACTGGGCGTGGTGGCATGCACCTGCAATCCCAGTGCTTGGGAGGCTGAAAACAGGAGGATCACTATGAGTCCAATCTGTACAGTGAGACCCTGTGCTAAATACATTTAATTTTTTTTTTCTTTTAGCAATAACTTTGTCTGCTAGAATCCATTGGGACTTCTTTCTGTTAGTCACCTGATTGACTTGATTGCTTTGAAAGCTGTGATTTAAGTTCTTGTCCTAGTCTAACCATGGTAGATGTCTACTTAAATTATCAGACACATAGTCTAATTCATACTAGTATCCCATGAGTCTACTGTTACTTGTTATTCTCTAATGTGTGATTTAGTAATTTCTTCCTAAGTACAAAATTTCTATCCTATTTAGATTGATTTCTGTGTGGCTTTTTCTGAAAACAAAAATTTCAGATGGAGTGCATATAATTATAAAATCATTTATATTGAGACTAATTAAAAAGAAGGACTTAAAAGGAAGTAAAAGACTTACCGGAAACTGGAGGAAGAAGAAGAGGGAGGAGGAGGGAGAAGGGAAGAGAGGGGAGAAGAAGAAAAATCTTATGTAGCAGTAGAAGCCTAGCAGGAAATGTTCCCGGTGATGTAGCTCGCGAGATTTCCTGTCCAAGTATGGAAACCTGATTTTGTGTTTCTTGTCTTAAGTGTGACATTACACAGTTTCATCCTGGGAGGACTATTAAAAGGAAACCAGGACATGATGGTTTGAAAATTGTTATCCTTTCCAGAGGCAAAAAATGCTAAAATTAACAAATGAGTTCTGAAGGAAGCTTGGATTCATTATACATTTTCTAACACTAAATACCTCTCTTACATGGTTGCAAAATTAAGATTATTGGTATGATTGTTATTTGATAGTAAAGTTGAATTGATCCTGAAGGAGAAAGCTGAGGAATGGCTTTTATTTCTGTGGAAACCATGGGTTTTCACTTGAAACTAGATTGTTTCAGAAAACTGAGGTACAAATCCACCATAGAAAGAAAAACACTCTTAGCAAGCATCAGGATTCCCACTGCGCGGCCACAGCACTCTACCAGGACTAAAAGAGAAGAGCCAGAGCCAAATCTGGCCAGACCAGCACTTCGGAGCTAGAGGAAGTTGCCTAGAGAACCAAAGATGATATAGCACCAATATCCATCAGTAGTATACAAAATTTGTAATTTTGTTATAAACTACTGAACATTTAGTAGCTGGGAGTATTTGAACCTTTCACTCTCCCTTTCACCTCAGATTTATAATCTCAAGTTTTGCTCACATTTTAACACTACTTTGGTAAATGTAGAAGTTAGATATTTTGGCAGGAACTAAATCTTTCCTATCAAGGGGGTAGCATAAAATGTATTGGTTCAGGATAAAGCATTTTTTTCCAAGTAGGTTTTTTTTTCCTCCTAAATAAAGAAATCAGCTATGGTAGCATATAGCTTTATTGCAAACTACTTGAGAAGCCAAAGCAGAAGGATCACAAATTCATGAATAGGGCCAGCCTGATAGCTCAGTGGACTAAAGTGCCTGTTTAGGCAGAGCACAGTGGTCAGGGTTCGATCCCCTGCGCATGGTGGTGGGCACCTGTAATCCTAGAGTTCGTGAGGCTGAAAACAGGAGAATCACTAAGAATCCGATCAACATAGTAAGACCCTGTAGACCCTGTCTTAAATACAGAAAAAAATAAAGTTAATTAATTAATTAATTAATTCCCGGGTAACCTGGGCAACTAGGACCTTGTCACAAACTGAAATATTTTAAATGGGGCAGGGAGAGCTTAGTATTTGCACATGTGGGGGCCCTGGGTTCAATGAACAGTACAGAGAATAAATAATAAACCCTTAAATTACAAACAAAGTTTCTCACTTTGGGGACTGCTGGTCTTCGGGGCTGGATTGTTTTCTGTGGAGAAAACCCTGCACATGGTGGGCTGCTCACTAGCATATCTGCTTGCCTTGGACCCCCTAGATGCCAGCGGTAACCACCACCTTCTATTATCTCTGGGTCGTGAGAACCAAAAATGTTTGTAAACATTGCCTACTGTCTCCTGGGGGATAAAATCATGACCTGCTGAGAACTAAAGGGAAGAAAATGATCAGAAAAAGAAAAAGCCAACACAAAAATTTAATTATCCATAATTGCTTATTATTCACTTAAATAACTTGATCTTTGTTATGCTTTGAAAAGACAGTATAGGACATGTATTAAATAATTAATTGAAAATTAAAATAATGTACCAGTTTGGACTTCTGGGGGAATTTTTATTGCATGCAAGACTGGAGTCTTGAAATTTTCTTTTTAGAAAAAGATATAGTAGGCATTTCCTTTAACAGTGAGCAAATATTTTGTGTATATTAGTTACTGTCTTGCTTGATAGATAAGAAATCTAAAGTAACTATTTAACAATATAATCAGGAAATGACCCAGATTTCTTCAAGTCTGCCCCTATGAGGTTTTTTATTTTGTTTGCGTTTTTTTTTTTTTTTTTTTTTTCCTGTTTTCAGTACAGGGAATCAAACTCATAACCTTGCACTTGCCAGGCAGGCACTTGTGCCACTGAGCTATCTTCCTGGCCCCCTTGTCTTATGTTTTAAGTGGTCCAAGTGTCATTACCTTCCAGGGTGTTGCGAAAAAATAAAACTTGGCCTTGGACACTCTCAGAATTTTGGAAAACAATGATGTTATGTTTAGAAACCATGGCACCTGGCCGTATTTGCCATTCATTTATTTATTTTGGTTTTATTAATGGATCATAGTTAGTGGAGTTTCCTAGGCAGGACGGATTAACTCAGATTGAGTCATGTCATTAACAGTGTCTGTACCTTCATGCCCATCCTCCTGTTTGCTCATGTGACTCTTAACCAACTGATGTTTTCTAAAATGCTTTCTATAAATGAAGACAGAAAGAATTAAGAAAATTAGAACTCATTATTACAATAAGCATTGCATTTATTTTTCAAAAACTCCCAAAACATTATGGGAATTCATTGCCTCCTGTTATATTTGTGTTTCTTTTGTACATAAGGTGTACAGCATTTAAATCAAAACCCTTTTGTACCCTCTGAAATTATTTCACTATCTATATAGAGATTTTAACTTTTCAAATGTATTTGACTAACATGACATCTTAATATAAGATTTTATATTTATCAATAAAACTTTGAAAAGAAAAAAAAAAGAATAAATTATCTAGTGGGGTGTGGTGGCACACCTCTGTAAGCCCAGCAATGGGGAGGCTGAGGCAGGAGGAGTTCAAGACCAGCTGGGGCCACAAAGTAAGCTGAAGATCAGCCTGAATTGCATAGTGAGAACTTGTCTCAAAGACAAAACAAATAAATAATTTGTGTTAAAAAAAAAAAAGATTTTATAATGTAAATTTTAGTTCCTTACTGTTGTCCATTTTACTTTTTGAATCTCTTACAGTGCCATTGCCAACCAATGTTCGAATTCAGTCCTATAACATGAACCCAGTCCTGTACTGGGACTACCAGAACATGCCCCAGAATGTTGTTTTTGCTGTGGAGGTATTGCGCTACGGGTAGGTGTTGTTCTCAGTCCTCAAACATTCCATAACTCTGTTTTCCTTCCTTCCCATATGGCAAAACTTCCTGAACTGCTGGTAGTCATTCAGAGATGCTTCAAATACAAATTAATTCTTTGTAAAATACCTGCTACTTTTCCTATCAGTATCAAAGTAAAGAGCATCATTAACTTGTAAGATTTTTTTTCCCCCTTTTGGGACTAGGTCTTGCTCTGTAGCCCAGGCTATCATCAAACTCACTGGATAGCCCAGGAAAGTTCAGCATTGTTTTGATGATCTTACACCAGGTAGCTGACCTTAGGAGACACTACAATACAGTTCGAAGCTATTACCTAGCCAGGTGTGAAGGTGGGCATGGGAAATCCCAGCTCTCTGGGGGCTTGACACAGGGGATCTAAAGTTAGAACCCTCCTTAGGCAACTAAGGTACTCAATGAGGCTTTGTCTCAGAATTAAAAAATCATAAAGTGACAGGAGATGTAGCTCACTGTGAAGGTCCTGGGCTCACCTCCCATTAAGAAAAAATGAACAAGGGAAAAAGGTACTACGTAGTGGTCTGTGGCTGTTGCTCACAGAACATTTGCCTACCATGCACAGGCCCTAGGTTTTTTGTGGGGTTTTGTTGTTGTTGTTGTTGTTTTGTTTGTTTGTTTGTTTGTTTGTTTTGCCTGCTCAGCCCATCCTGAGGGCAGGGCTTACACAGCATGTGGTTCCAGGGATTGAACCACTGTCCCCTGCGCCTAAGCTTGCCTAAGCTGGTGCTTTAGACCGCTGAGCTATTTTACCAGCCCCAAAGTTCAGAAGAATTTTTTTTTGGGGGGGTGCTGGCTCAGACTGCCAATATTACAAAATCTGAAAAAAAATCAAAAATGTGAAACACTTCCAGTCCTGAGCATTTCAGGAAGCTTTTTTTTTTTTTTTTTTTTCTGGTACCTGCGTTTGAATTCAGGACCCTGTGCCTGCCAGGCAAACACTTATTCTACTGAGCTATCTCCCCAGACCTCAGGGTGCCTTAAAGGTGAGTCTGGTAGGGCATGGGGAGCTGGGGATCGAACCACACAGTCCCCTGTGCCTGACTGGGTTTGCCCCAGCAGGGGCTTAAACAACTGAGCTAACCCACAAGCCCTAGGTTTGATCCCCAGCAACTCTAAAAATTAAAAAGATATTACCCACAAGCAAAGAAAACAATTTTTATGAACGTAAATGTAATGAGCTCTTAAGATATACTATTAAATGAAAAACACAAGTTCAATTATATAATGTGTTAGGGAATAAGAAAGAATATGAAGAAATAGTAACAAGGGATTGCCCAGATTGCGAAAACAGAAACAAGATACAAAAGCCTGAAGCCAGCGAAATTGACTACCTGCCGGGGTAGACAGTGGGGAGAGCTGAACTGTCTTCACTTAGTCCCAGATACCAAGGGCATGTCAGAAACGTCCAGGAGCCACCTAGAAAAGGTTTTTCCTGGCCAAAGGTGTGACCACAAAGCAGAACACAATACAGTGAAATAAGAAAGAAACTCCATTTCTGTATTATTATTAATTAATAATGAAGTGAAGAAAATGAAAAGCTTTTCTAAGGACAGATGGCCTTGAACATTTTAAGGTGTGACAAATCAATCTAGTAAAGATAGCCTCCCTTTATAGTATTTTTTTACTAGAAAGACAAATTTCAAACTATTTTGAAAGATAAATTCAAAGAGAAATTGACAACTATTCTCAAGAGTCTGTTATGTGTTTGATTCTATAATTAAATCACATTTACATTAAAGGAATCTAGAGTTGTTTAAAAGATTTTAAGACTTAGATGTGGAGTGTGGTTTGTACAAGTCTTAAGAGCTTGCACTGAGCCTGTTTCTCATGAAGAGACATGTAGTATAGTTTTAGTATCCCTCATCTGAAATGCTTGGGAGGGCCAGGGAGATAGCTCAGTAGGATAAGCGCTTGTATGGCAAGTGCAGGGTCTTGAGTTCAATCCCTGGTACTGCAAAAAACCAAAACAAACAAAAAACAAAGCTTCCTGAAATGCTTTGGACCAGAAGTGTTTCTTATTAATGATTTTTTTCAGATTTTGTGATGTTGGCATGTGCATAATTAAGTATCTTGGGGATGGACCCCAACTCTAAACATAAAATTCATTTGCATTTCATATACATCTTATTTCATACACTATAATTTTATGCAACTAAGTTTCATGATGTAGGATTTTTCTGTTTTGGCATTCAAAGTCAGTGTTCAAAAACTTTGGGATTTTGGAACGTCTTGATTTCTGGTATTTTTGTTTTAAGGATGCTGGACCAAGTAGGGTTGTCTCTCCATCCTACTGTCGTTTAGCTCTTCATACAGGGTTTGTGCTGTAAATGAAAAAAAACACAGAGATGGTGCAAGATTGCGATAACAGTAAGTGTTACCTTTGTGTTTCTTTATTCTCTTTCATTTTAGGAAAACATGGACTATTGCCTGTAACAATACACATGATCATCATTGCGGCATTTCTGATGTTGAGGAACCAAATCTTCCTATCTGGGCCAAAGTGAAAGCTATAGTTGGACAGAGAGAATCTGCCTATGTAACAACCAAATCATGGTTTATCGTATGTGAACATGGTATGTATGGTGAATACGTGTCACTGTGAACATGTTCTCTGTTTGTTTTTGCTCTCATCAGCAGTTGTTAGAAATGATCATAATGCCTAGGCCACATTGGGAGGAATTCAGAGAGAGCTAGTGTCATTCCTTTTTGTCAAGCCCCCTAGAGACAGCCATCCTTGTGCCACTTTTACACTGACTTTCCACGCCCAGCAGTACTTGGCGTCACCCTTCCCCTCCCCGTGCCATCGGTAATTCCTTTCAGAGTACATTCACTCCAGGCTTTAGCTTCTGGGTGTCATTTTGCTGTCTACCTTCAATCCATGGTGTCTGTGGGGCTGTGAATACCAACTTAATACATTAAACACATTAAACATGTTTAGAACTCTTACCTTTCCACCCCTGTGACTTTCAGCTCTTCATTCTTCCCATGTCCCATTCCGGTAACATACTTCAAACTCCAGAATGTCCACGCCAGTTTGTATTTGCTGGCTCCTATGTCCTCCCTTGGTAATCATACCTCACTTCTGTGTAAAACAAACCTTGAAGGGGTTAGAGATACAGTCCAGCAGTGTGGTGCTTGCCCAGCAAGCACAAGGTCCGGAGTTTGATTCCTGGTACCAGAAAAACCCTTTAGTCACTTGACTGTGCTGTAGTCCAACAGTCCTTCAGTACCTATTCTTTCGCCTTCTCCTTTCTTTGCTCAGCCTCAGTGCTAGGTTACTTGAACTACAGCCTTTCCAGTGTGCCCTCGTGTTTGGACTCTCTTGCTTTTCAGATTGTGCTGTCTGTGTTCTTTCATAGGCCTTTTTCATACTTAGGCTTTGATCGAGCTAGCTTTCCCATAGTAGACGCAGTACCCAACCCACACAGCTCCAGGGAGCAGAGGTAAGATTTGGCTCAGTGTGTGGTCACCCAGCTCCAGGGAAGAAATGTGGTGGACAGGCCTGAGAAGCATAGCGGCTCAGTTCATGGTGGCTCGGAAGCAGAGGTGCCAACGAGAAAGGAGTAGAAGACCAAACTTCCACCCCAAGGCCGTGCCTCTGTAACCTTCTAGGACAACAGAAGTGTGGTCCACCAGTTCCTGGGTAGAATGCAAAGCCAATCAAGTTCACATTCCACCCTAGCCACCACACCCTTAAATGTTTTATTCCATACTTTAGTAGTCAGGTACATACTATCTGTGTTGTCAGATTTTCCCCTACTGATTTTTCAAGGGCCAGCAGTATGCTAGAAGGTATGCCAGGCCCTGAAGTGCATTGAACCTATCTTCTTGGCGCACAGTAGGTGCACTGTAGAGATGAGGCACACTGAAAGGTTTACCAGGAAAGCGTCAAACATCCGCCCTGAATAGCCGCTGACTCGTTGGCGGTCTCGGTCTGATTTTCACAGTAAAAACTGAATTATTAGCAAACATTTATAGAGCCTGCATACCAGGAACCCATGACTGTTGAAGACACAGAGCTTTACTGAGGAAAGATAACTAAATGCCTCTCACAATTTTTACAAATCTGCCTTTTTCTTCATCTATAAAAGCAAAGGTAAAAAGTACCTAATAGAGCTTATTTGACTTTTTAAAATCCAATCCATAACCAAGCATATTTCCCTTGAATGAGAAATGAAGTTAAACTGCTAAAGAGGAGTTTGGAAAAGAGTACTTCTTACGTGAGATTTGTGGAGTATTTATAAAGGGTATTTGGAATGTCCTCTAGATTTTTGTGGAATGATTTAAGTGTGGCGCTCCTTAGTCAAGGTATCCTCCTTTAGTTAAACTGTGGTCCTGCTTTAGTAAAAAACAAAGAGTGGTGTGGTTGGTTGATTGATTTTGATAATTTGATGGAATGGGCCGTGAGGTTCCGAGGTCAGTACTAACTGCGCTGCTCTCCCCAGGGACGGTTGGGCCACCTGAAGTGACTGCTGCCCCCGAAGAGGACCATATCATTATTGAAGTGACTCACCCTTTAATTCAGCCAAATGAAAACGAGTCAGAAACTGCAGATGATTTTGAAAACCCTTGTTATGACTTTGACTACAAAGTATACGTAAGAGTGAATGGAAGTGAGGTAGGTGCGGCAACCCACTCAGGTCGCCTTCTGTCCCTCTCTTGGACAGAAGCTTTCTTTCCCTCAGTAAATATATCCTGCTCTTAACCTCCATTGGTCCTAAAATTCACTCTCTGGTTTTAGAGAACAAGAACTCCCAGGTGTCTTTCACTCTGGGAGTTTCCTTCCACTGTACCATTCAGAGGTCGAGGGAGGGAAGCACAGCAAGCCACCAGCCCAGGCCAGGCAGGACAGTATGTCATTTTACTTTATTTATTTTGTGACACTGGGTAGGGACTGAAGCCAAGACCGTTCTCACTAAGCAACACGTCCCTCCCCCATTTTTCATTCTTTGTTTTATTTTTATTTGCCAAATCTTGGTATTTTCCAGGGTAGTGAAAAAAGGAAAAAGATCACAAGGCGTGGGAGGGAGTCGGGGGCCAGGACCTCGGGCTGCCCATCTAGAGGCAGAGAGGTGCACAGAGGAAGTCTGAGAAAAAGGCGCAGGCTTGGTCTGTGGAATCTCTTCCCTAACAAATGAGGAAACGAGGAAGCAGTCAGTCACAGGACGTTTCAGGACACGCGTGCAAAGGCAGCGTCCTGAGGAACCAAGGACAGGAGTGAGGCTTGAGAAGTGAGCGTCCTACAGGACAGGCTAGTGACGCAGCTCCGGAGGGCCTTATAGCTCAGGCTGGGAGGGCTTGCTTTTTTTTTGGGGGGGGGGTGCTGACTCCCACAGGCCTGGCCAGCACTGCTCAGCAGTGGGGGAGGATGAAAGAAACAAATGTTCCCTTCACCAAGAGGGGATGGCTGACTGCTGAGTTGGAGGACACCTGGGCTGTGGCCAGAAGGGAGGCAGCAGCCTCCTGCCTCGTGGAAAGACCAGACACGGGACCTGGCTGGTCACCTGGCACAAGCAACCCTGAGCTCCCTTCCATTTTTCTCTCAGTTTCCTTTAAACTGTAAGCTGCAAGCTGGGGAGATAGCTCAACAGTCTGAGTGCCTGCCTGGCAAGCACAAGGACCTGGGTTTGATCCCCAGTACCACATGCCATGCTGGCCCTGCCAGGTGGGCCACTGAAACCAGGTGTGGTGGTGCACACCTGTAATTCCAGCTGAAGGGAGGCTCAGACAGGAGGATCACTATGAGTCTGAGCTGCGTAGTGAGACCCTGTACCAAATAAATAATTAATTAAAAAAAATTAGCTGGGCATGGTAGCACACACCTGTAACCCCAGAACTCATGAGGCTGAGGATCCTTGTACGTTGCGCAGCAGCCGGGGCTACAAAGTGAGCTCAAGGCCAGCCTGAGCTGCATAGCGAGACCCTAGCTCAAAAATAAAATAAGTTTAAATTTAATTAGATTTTTTTAAAAAGCAAGTGAGGTAGGTGTTTCTGTTTCATATTTTTTATATATTTAGCATGAGCAGAGTTGATTTTTAGTTTCCTTTTTATTAGTATGTGTTTCTAATGCATAATGACTACATTCATCTTGGAGAAATTGATACATATAACTACCACATGGATTTTTCTGTAGCTAGTACAAGTTGTTTCTTGATGGTGTATGATGAAAGTGGCGTGCTTATGCTATTCAGGCAAAACCCCTTAGTCATAACCTTTAGGAAGAAAATGCAGATGAGTGCTGATAAAAGGAACTGGTATATAATCAATTACACCAGCTACATGAGTACTTTTTAAGGTTTCTCTTTCTTTGCCTTACCAAGATGGCCCTGTGTCTCCACTGGTAAGATAGGATAATATAATTTTTTTCTCTCCTTAGAGATGATGTAAAATAATATGCATTTATAATTTGAAGCATCAGTTTTGAAAAAAAAAAAAAAAAACTATAGAACTGTGGCGATGCAGTTATGGTATCCAGGCACTGGCGTGGGGTCCGTGCCCTGATTGGAGCTGTTCTCCGCTCTCCACAATGATGGCATTTCTTTACTTGATAAATATAGTAGCTATCTGTGAGGCATGCGGTGGTACAGCTAAGAGCAGCATGGCCATGTGGGTTAGCTGGTGGGCAGGGCACAGTGGGCAGGGCACAGTGGGCAGCAGGCAGTGACAGCTTCCTGGGCAGGTAGCGACTGCTGTGAGGTCAGGTTGGGGTGTGAGCCCCAAGGGTGGACGTGAGTGAGCATTTCAGAAGAAGACCCAGCAGAGCTCCAGCGGGCACATGAGGGAAGAAGCCGGCGGGCCAGTGGGGTTGGCAGGTGCAGAGGACGCTGGAAGGACTTGACCTTGGTGCTTTTGTTGCACCTTGGGGACATTAAAGCAGAAAAATGATGTGATTTAGATTTAAAAATATCTTCTTGGCTGTTGGCAGGGATGTCTTTATGAAATACAGATGCACTTGTGTTATTCCACTGCTTAGAACTCCTCAAATCCCCACTGGCTATAAAGCAACGAATTTCTTCCCGTGACATGGCCCCTGGACCCTGACGCCTCAGCCTTGTGGGTCCTTCCCACTCTCCTCGGCCTTCTTTCATTCGTGCTTCAGAGAATCGCTAGCTCCTTGATCCCTGAAACTGCCCTGTTCTTTCACAGAATGCCGTTCTCAAGCCTCCCACTTGGCAAATTTCTGCCCATTCTTTAGGAGCTGAGGTGTCATCTCCAGTTTAATTGTTTCCCGACACAGTAGACTATTTCCTTCTCTTTTATCTTGGTTCTGTATAGGATTCCTCAGGCAGTGCTCTTCAGTCCTTGTAACATTTCTTTCTTACCTCTCTTCTACTCTGAATCATTAGAGTAGAAGGTACCGTTGAACCCAGGTACCGCCGTCCTGCCTGTATTTGTCAGCATCATGTTACCACAGGGAAATCCCCAAGTCCACTGCCATATAAAGAAAAAAATTTCATCTCTGTGACCCCCTTTTGCTAGACTTAAACCCTGGACCTCACACATGCTAGACAAACCCTGAGTTATACCTCTGAGTTACACCCCTAGCCCAAGTGATTACATCTCAGACTAGACCAGAGAGAGGGGGAGAGATTATGGATACATAATCCCTCCCAAGGACACGCCCCCCAGAAACCTAAGGACCTCCCATTAGGCGCCACCTCTTAAAGGCTCACAGCACCTCACCATACCACCACCACCCTGGGGACCAGACCTATTTTATGAATTTTGGAGGACATATACTAAAACCACAGCACTACTTGTGTATTTTCAGGTCCTGACATAGTTGACCCACACACTGGCTGATAGAATGAATGATAGATTTTATATCATTCCTTTCTAGGTCCTACTTTTCAGAGATCCTGCTGCCTTTACACAATACTTTTATTATGTTTCCCATAAAACTTCACTAGCTAGGGCCCAGAGAGATAGCTCAGTAGAATAAGCACTTGCCTGGCAAACGCAAGGGCTTGAGATCAATCCCCGGTTCTAACAAACAAACAGACAAACCAAAAAAAAAAAAAAAAAAAAAAAACTTCACTAGCTAAATTTCAAACACTTTAGCAATAGGAGAAATTAACATTTAACAACTAACAATGAACATCCCGGCGGTCCAAGTCTTTGATGGATGCACGTCATCATGCTGTACTTAACAAATTGACCTGTTCGATATCGGAAGTTTCAGATATGTTTCATATTCATCATATATACACTATATGGTGTGTGTGTGTGTGTGTGTGTGTGTGTTCTTTGATTGACCAAGATAAGTATGAGGAATGTCTTTTATAGATTAAAGAAACAATGCCTTTTTTTCATGTAGGCCATAAAATACAACCTCATGGGAGATGAGTGCTCCGACGTTGCCTGCAGGTTAAGAGTTCCAGTTCCCTTGCTGAATTCTGAGTACTGTATTTCAGCTGAAGGAATCTCTGAACGGTGGGATCTTAAAACTGAAAAGTCAAAAGAAAGTTGTATTACCATTTACAGTCGCAGCTTAAGCGGTAAGTTCTTGCCATTCTTTCGTAAATACAGAGAAGGGTAACTAAAAGAGGTCATCTCTCTTAAAAACATTCAGCAGCTCCTTTCCTCACAGGCAGTTTCTCAACCAGTAATACATACCGAGTAACCAATTGGAGCCATTGATGACCCATGAAAATCTGTAACAAATATGTAAAATTATAGGTACAAATATCTGCATTCAAAAGTTTATCATACATTATTTGTAAGATACAAAAATCCAGAAGATAATAAAATTATCTATCGTCCTGTCGTCCCCCTAAAATGTACCATTATTCACAGTTCATTGTTTTCTTTTTGTCCTATTTTCTCTTTCGTTTTTTGGTGCTACTGTAGTGCATAGTGTATAGAATTTTGTGAATTAGAGAGCTTTCTTTTTCTTCACATACTCAATAGCATTTGTTTTGTGTTGTTGTTGTTTTGACAGCAGCCATTCTAACTAGGGTGAGATGGTGTCTCCTTGTAGGTTTTTTGTTTGTGTTTTAACACAGTATCTCACGGTGTGGTTCAAGCTTGTTCTGAACTCTTGGCCCTCCTGCCTCAGCCTCCCAAGTGCCAGCGTTTCAGTTATAACACCGCCTGAACCCACCTTTCACCTCTTATTCTACTTTTGATTTGTGTCTGCCTAATTGCTGATATATTGAGTGTTTCTTCAGCTATTTCTTGGCTACTTGGGTACCTTCTTTGGAGAAGTGTGTGTTCAGATTATTTCCCACTTTTTAACTGTCTTTAGTTTGTTTTTTGGATCTTTTATACATTAATGCAAGTAAATAGTTGATAGTTATTTTCTATTCTGTGGATTGTTTCTTCATTCGGTTTTCATTCTGTGTGTGTGTGTGTGTGTGTGTGTGTGTGTGTGTGTGTGTGTACATTCCATTTCTTTCATTAAAGTTTTATAATTTTCATGGTAGAGGTCTTTCATTTCCATGGTTCAGTTTATCCCTAAGTATTTTTATAGCTATCGTGAGGGGGATCTTTTTCATAAGTTCTCTTTTAGCCAATTTAATACTAGTAACAGTGAAAGTTATTGATTGGTTTACAGATTCTAATAGTTTTCTGGTTAGTCTTTAGAGCTGTCTACGTATAGAATTCTGTCTTTTAGAAATAGGGGTAATTCATCTTCCCGCTACTTATTTGTCTTTTATTTCTTCTCTTGCCTAGTTGTACAGGTTAACACATACAGTACTTGTAGAGTAAGAGCTGCAAGAATGGGCGCGTTTACTTGATCTCAGGAAGTACTGTCTGCGAGCCTCCCCCCTTGTGTATTGGCCGTGGGCTAGCCATGTGTGGCCTTTATTATGATGCATCCTAATCTTTCCGCACCTGATTTGTTTTGGACTTTTATCGAGAGGAGAAGTTGAATTTTATCATAAGCTTCTTCTGCATCTACTGAGATGGTTATTGACTTTTACCCTTGTCGCTGTTGAAGGCGCTCCATGGTGCTTACTGGTTTGTAGATGCTGAGCCATCTTTGCATCCTTAGAATGAAGCCGGTTACTTGTGGTCAGTGCTCTTAGTTGGTGCATTGCTGAATTCAATTTTCTAGTAATTTTTGAGAATGCTCATCAGACGTATTGGCCTCTAACTTTCCTTCTTTGTTGTGTCCTAAGCTGGCCTCACAAAATAAGTTTTTTGAAGGGCTTGCTTCCTGTTGGTTTTTTTTTTTTTTTTTTTTTTTTCAGTTCTTTGGAAATTGGCGTTCATTCTTTAAAAATTTCGCAAGCATTCCACAGTGAAGTGAGCCTGAAATTTTTTGTTTCAAGACTGATAGTGATTCAATTTCATTATTTGTTTTTGATCTATTTTGTTTTGTTTTGTTTTGTATTCCCTTAGATCCTCATGATTCAATTTTGGTAGGCCTGATACATCCAAAAATTTATCTATTTCTTCCAACTTTTGTAGTTTGCTAGTACAGTTTTTCATAATAATCCCTGTTGTTTCCCTTGCTTCCTCTGATTTTATTTATAGATCCTTTTTCTGGAAAACTGGAAATCAAGGCTGAAGTGTCAGACCTAGCTTTTAATGACAGTAAGTTCCAGGCTATTATATAAAAGTTTTAAGTAGGAGATTTAGAGTAACATAGTAGATTTATGCCAATTAACATTATGCTGTTTGAAAAATAAAATACAACTCTGCATGCACAATGTGAAATACTGTTATGTGCATGCTCTGGATCTATTTTCTCAGGAACACTGAATTATAGCCAGGTGGTACACACCTGGGGTCCTATCGTGGAAGGCTGAAGTAGAAGGATTGGTAGTTCAAGCTCCACTGGGGCAGTTTATCAACTTAGTGAGGCCCTAGATTAACATGAAAAAAAAAAAAAATTTTAAAGGGCTGCGGGTGTATTTCACTGTGAAGGCTCTGGTTTCAGTCTTCACAACAGAGCCCCTCAAAACCCCCAACACAAACAAAAAGGCCTGAAGGCTGTCACGGCCACACGGTGGCAGTACTGTGCTTGCGATCGGTGAACTCGCTGTGGGCATCCGCCCCCTCGCTCTGGACTTCTATCAATAAGCTCTAGAGTTTGCTTTGTGGTTCATTTGTCGTGTGTGTGTGTGTGTGTGTGTGTGTGTGTGTGTGTGTGTGTGTGTACCTTCTTTATTTTATTTTTTAAAGAGAATAGAAATTAGAATTAAAACAAAAAATTACAAGGGATACAGATTTTCACTTAACAAAGTAATAAGAATTTCGTAGTATTTGTTGAAGTAAATTAACTTGTCTTTTACTGTGTAATGGTTTCTTTTCTTTTCTTTTCTTTTCTTTTCTTTTTTTTACATCCTATATCGATCGAGCATAGTGTAAGCATTAAGCACTAACTTCGGCTGTTCTCTGTCCAAGGATTGACTTTGGAATAAGAATGAGAGAAAATGCCACGCACACGCGTGAAGTAGTTACTGTTTCTTTACAAGAGAAGACTGGGGAAGAAATGCTAGAGATTGTTACGAAAATTAAAGGCACAGAGTAAAATGCACAGTGGTAATAATGCGTGTGCTCTGACCCAAATCTTCTCCATCTTTTATGTTCTTTATATCTGGTTTACCATCATGAGGACTTTATTCCTGTGTGTGGGCATTTGTGTATTTTAGAAGTATTTACACTCTTGAAATAAGCCTAACAGAAGATTCTGAGGAAGAGAGCTAAATTTCTTTAAGAGTTACATGACCAAAGTTTATTTCTCAAGAAAGATATTTTGTAATTCTTCTTTCCCCTTCTTAACTGAAAGAAAAGCATAACCCTAAACACAGATTGTGTTGGAGGCTGCAGGGAAGTTGCAGTAAAAGAGCTATGTGGACTCTGCAGTACTAGGGCAGGACAGTCCCAGAAAGTTCTAGAATTACAGAATTGGGAACAATCGTTTTGCGTTCTAGGATAGATACCTATTTTCTGTTCAGATTGACTGTTCTTTAAAGCTCTTGTCATATTTGCTAACTAATGTATAGATCTATTAAATGATAATGTTAAAACTTTTTGCTATGTAATAGTAGAATTGCATCTTAATTCTAACTTACGATTTTTCTCTTTGGTTTAGATTCTGTTTGGATTGCAGTTGGTGCTACCACCCTACTCTTTCTAATAGTTATCCTCGTACTTGTGTATTATTTTAAGAAGAACCCCTGTAAGAAAAACAACATAACGTTACCTAAATCTTTGGTAATTTGTTTATATATTTTCTTCAGTTATTAGTGCTAAAATGTGAACGGTAACTTTTTCTGACAGTTTCTTCCATTTGTTCTTTAAATGGGGCGATGTTGAGCCGCACTCCGCGGAATGCCATGCCATGCTAGCGTCGTCGTGTTACTAATTTTCCTTTAGGAGCACTGACCACCCAGTCCCTCACACGTTCAGAACCACAAGGGTCTTTAGGGTGCACCAGCAGTTTTTATACTCAGTCCAAATCCTGCAAGGAGTTTCGAGTCTGATGGAAAGCAAAGACGAGTATGTAATGGGCAGGTAGTCACCGTGATTGGTTCAAAAGTAGAAGTTTGTACCCAGCCAGTGAGGACTCTGCCTAGCACATAGGCTGGAGGGAGATGGCGCTGTCCCACAGCCCGTGATGTCTGAGCATTCTTGAGAGACAGTAGTTTATCCAGCTGCTAAGAGGTAGAATGTACTAGGCCAAGAAACTAGAAAGCCTGGTTTTTGAAGATCTGCAAAAATGGAAATGCTTTATTATGGCAGGAGTATGACAGGAAAGATGGCCAAAAGTGAAATAGAAACTTAACATTTAATATCTAGCATTTCAAAATCTTTAAAATGATGAAAAATATTTAAAGTTAATAGAATGGTAACTCTTTGAATTGAATATAACAAGAATAGTACCTGTGACATTCAAAGGGTATGTTGACATTTGCTCTAAAACTACAATTTTTGAAGCAGATAAGAACTAGCACCAGTCAGTGGCCTGTTCATATGTGAACTATAACAGGCATCTTCCCTCCTCTCCAAGCCCCCATCCAGTGCACCCTCTTGTGCTTGCTACGGGACAGCTAAACCTGCCTGAGCAGTAGTACAGCTGGAACCGAGAGAGCCTGGCCGGAGCAAGTGTGCTTGGGAGTGCGGCGAGGTGTGCTGTAACCGTGCCCTGGCCTTCGATACCGCCGTGCTACTCTTTCATTCTAAGAAACTCCTTTCATAGATCAAAAGATATGTGAAATAGTCAACACATTTTGTAGCTAGTAAAAATTGGGACTCCAGCTTGTATTAAAGAGTGATAAGGACCAGGGAGATAGCTCAGTAGAATAAGTGCTTACCTGGCAAGGGCAAGGCCCTGAGTTCAATCCCCGGTTCCACCAAAAATAAAGAAAGAAAGAAAGAAAGAAAGAAAGAAAGAGAGAGAGAGAGAGAGAGAAAGGAAGGTAGGTAGGTAGGTAGGTAGGTTATCTGACCCCACAAGTTTGTTGTCAATCTCATGAGAGTATTGTTATGAAAAAGAAAAGCAGAACCAACTACTCATTAAGTTACCTTGCCCCACGTGTGTCCTCGGTCTTCTGTCACTGTTTGGCCTTTGCTTGTTTGAGAAGAAATATTGAAGCTTCGTAGTTCACTGCCGTCACCATTTTCTCTTTTTTCAGCTCTCGGTGGTAAGAAGTGCCACTTCAGACACAAAACCTGAGTCGAAATACCTGTCCTTGAACTCCTCGTACCAGCCAATTACCGAAAACGCGGTGGTGGTCAGCGCAGAGGAGGTATCCCCCGTGACAGGGTCAGGCCCGTGCTACCCCGGAGACGAGGCGCAGAGGGAGGACCCTCCCACCATGCCCACCACGCACATGGCTGACCCTCTCCCCAGTGGCTCGGACCTGGCTTCCAGCAGCCTGCCAGCTGTGTCGGGGAGTTCTTTGCACTCAGGTAGTAGCCAGTCGGAACCCTGCGCTGTATTCTTAAACTCCTACCACTCCCGGAATGGTTCTAATAGCAGCCTCGTGGGTATACCTGAGTCAGAAACCCCCGCAAGTGATAAAAATGAAGCAAAGACAGAAGGACAAGAGCCCAAGGTGCTGAGAAGCGCCCCCACCTCTTTCGGCTACGATAAGCCACACGTGCTTGTGGAGCTGCTTGTCGGGGACGAGGGTGCCAAAGAGTCTTTGGTTGGTTATAGACTTACAACAGATTCCAAGGAATTCCCCTAAGGTGACAGGTGACAGTGACTTCCCTGCTTTGATTTTATGAAGAGATCGAGAACTCTAAAATGGAGTCTTGGTTGCCATCAACCAACTGGAGTCGCTTGGTATAGGCGTGGAAAGAAGCTGTTGATCCTGTCACGTTCAGCCTGAGAACTACAGATTCTTTTCTTGAGAACAAACCTTGAGCCACTGTGGCTTCCATGCCTAGCCACCAGGTAGGTGGGTGAGTGGTTGCCGTGAGCTCCTTCCGGTTAGCACTGCTTCTGCCCTTCTCATTCTGGCGAGAGGTGCAAGGGGACTTCGGCCTTTCTACTCCTCAATATGCTGTCTTTCAGTGGTTTTATTTTGTAACATGGTCTAGCTGTTTTGCCCAGCAAGAGGACCTTGAGCTCCGATTCTTCTTGCCTGGGGCTCCTCGGTGGCTGGGATTACTGCACCTGTGGTTTATGATGCTTTTGGTATCTTGTTTGAAAGAAACTCCAAAAAGTATTCAAAATCGAATTTAAAACCGAAGTGTATACTAATAGCACTAATGGAATGTATAAATGGAAGCGTGTAGGTTTTTTTATGTACTCTTTGGTTATTTTGCAATAAAATACTTTCAAACCTTACTTGATACTCATTTATGCCAGCACTGAAGTACTCTTTCAGAAGTAACTGGAACACTTTTTTCATTTGTTGCTATGCATTAATGGCTACAGAATTATTTTCTAATTCTGGCTAAATTTTTAAACAATCCTAAAAATGTCTTCCAAATGGTCCTTTATCTTGATCTTTCAGTAGTTATCACCCAGTGTACAATCCCTATTCCAAGCAGGGCTGGGCTGGAGGTGTCTGGGAGGGGCTTGGCTGCCCTGCGCACCAGGGTGTGTTGGGGAAGAGAAGCCCCAGCAGTGGCAGGCCGGGTACAGATGCAGTTGTATCACGGGAGCGGGAGCGCTTGGATGGCAAAGGGAGAGAAATCCTAAGACTCACGTGAGTTAGTGGGTCAGCACACAGTGAGGTGCAATTCACCTGAGGAAATTAGTGAAATTAGCGAATGAACCATGGGAAAACATTTCTCAGTTAAAGTGCAGATTAAAATGAGACTATTTTATTCTGTAGGGGCAGGGTGGTAGTTTTCACCCTGCTGGTATGCTCTCTGATTTGGGGATGCTTCTCTTGTGAATGGCTTTTCAAACCATATCAGTATGTACCACACTCTATGAACATATCCTTTAATAAACTTCATTTGTTCTAATGGAAAAATTGTTTTATAAGTTCTTTTTTTTTTTAATGTATTTAGTACAGGGTCTATAGGGTTGCACTACATAGATCAGACTTGAGTGATTCTCCTGATTTCAGCCTCCAAAGTCCTGGGATGACAGATGCATGCCACCATGCCCAGTCTCAATCGCCATCTCAGAGCACAGCATGCCGGGGATTGAACCCCAGTCCCTACATCTGCCTAAACAGGCACTTTAATCCACTGAGCTATCTAGCCAGCCCATACAAACAAATTCTTATGCATAGTTGTACGTGTCTAAAATCCCAGCCACTTGAGAGGTTGAAGCAGGAAGCTCTCAGATTTGAGTCCCATTGAGAACTATAACAAGACCTTGATTTGATATAAAATGGACTGAGGATATATTTTCTTTTCCTTATTTTTTTGGTACTGGGGATTGAACTCAGGACCTTGCGCTTGTCAGGCAAGCACTTCTGCTGCTGAGCTATCTCCCCAGCCCCTTATTTCTATTTTGTTTTGTTTTGATGGCTGAGGATGTATTTTAATATAAAGCCCTTGGGTTCAATCCCAGTACTACTGCCCCCAGGAAAAAAAAAAAAAAAAAACCTAAGTGAAAAATACATTTCAATGGAGAAGAGCAAAAACATGAAAAGAATTGAAATAGCATAAGAGAAGTTAATTACTAACTGCAAAAAAAAAAAAAAAAAAGGTATCAGTATGTACTCCCTCCAAATGTGGAGCAAGGACCTGTTTTAATCCACAGACTGGTTCTGACCCAGAGGCAGAGTCAGCTGTGAGCTGCTGCCACATTGGAGTCTAAGGCCCAGACTGGCCCTGGGTTTGGCTGCTGGAGGGACCAGGGACAGGGACAGGGAGGGGCCCTCTACATTGTGAAGGCAAATCCTTATTTCAGAGGGTTCAACTATAACCTACAGAAAGCCTGGAATCGGGTGGACTTGAACCCTCTGATTGGTGTGGGCACTTACAGGGGATGAAAAATGTCTAGGGATGGGGTGCAGTAATAGGTAAGGACCCCTTGGCCAGGAGGTGAAACGCAGAGATGTGATTTAAGGGGTTTGACTCAGGTTTCACCTTCCTTCAAAGCCTATGTTCTTACTATGGTCTGATGTCTCTAATTTTCTGTATTAAAAAGAAAAACAAGGACCATTGTCATTAATCATGCATATATGTCACACCTTGTTTAACTTTGGCCACATGGAAGCCACATCCAAAAATAACCATAGGAGCATCTGGAAATAGAATCTCATAAGTGATGATGATTTCATAGTGCTGCACTAAAAAAAGATTTTAGTCACTATTTTAAAAGGCAAAAGGTATTTTCTGTACTAAAAAGAGGTTCGTGAAAATTTTTAATTTTTGTTTGGAAACTGAATCTTGTTGAACATCTGATACTTTATCTTTTGCTTTTTTGGTTTTAGGTCTGCTGTCTTGTTTTCCATTATCTTTGTCCTTGAATTGTCAGTTAACCAGCAAATCTTATACTAAATGCTGATCTGTCTGTCTTCTATTCCCAGAAATCAAAGCAATAAGATGGGATTTCCAAGTTACGCATAGTTGTATAAATCAGCCTTTTTGCTTCTCTAGAAATTATGAAAAAAACCAATGAGGATTAAAACTAATAGTTCTTTCACTTGGAAATTTGTTTTTTAATTCTCTACTTAAAACCCTTGAGTCAGAAAAAGAAATCCAAACTATAGAACTGACAGGCAAAAATTAGTGAAAATACATTTCAGAGCCAATGGAGAAGGCTGTGGAATATATTTCAGACTAAATTCCAGGTGTAAATACTTACGTTGGACAAAAACAAGTGAAGTAAACATCTGATGGAAGTTTCCCTTAAACAAATTGGAAGGACTCTTAAAAGTTAAAAGGGGGCCGGCCAAATAGCTTAGTGGATTAAAGCACCTGCTAGGTAGACCCAGGGCTGGTGGTTTGATTCCCAGCATGCCATGCGAGCCCTGCCCCCAGGGTACAATGAGATAGCAATTGAGACTGGATGTGGTGGTGTGCGCCTGTAATCCCAGTACTCGGGAGGCTGAAAACAGGAGGATCACTACAAGTTTGATCCATGTAGTAAGACACTGTAGACCCTGTACTAAGTACATTAAAAAAGAAAAAGTTAAAAGGTAAGAATGATACATATATTTTAAAAATTAGAAAAATAAATAAATAATAAAAATTAGAACCCATTATAAGACCTAGTTCCTTGAAAACATTTTTAAAGATAACTTCTAAAATAATGAAACAGTATTATTACTCAAAATAGGAATCTAAAAGGAAAATCACAGAAATGAGAAATAGAACAAATAAGGACTAATTTCTAAATTCTGTGCACATTAGGGGAGAACCCGCTTGGGCCCCCCTTCTTTCCCTCTCTTGGACAGGAGCTTTCTTTCCTTCAATAAATATATTCTGCTCATAGAGAAATAAAAAAATAAAAAATTCTATGCACAAGTCCCAGGTGGTTGCAGTGGTCGAAGTGACAACTGATCAGACACTGGTTCTTCTCTGAAGGTCTCCCCAGAGCTACAAGATGCGTGGCCTCTGGACTGATGACATCTAGTAGGGTCAGGGAAAGACCTTGGTCAGGAACAATCCAACTTGTAGTCTTCTTCATTCGAAAAAAATAGGAGCAAAGATCACAAAAGTTTAGCTTGGTGAAGCTCTAGGCCTTGCAAATGGAGCTTTTAAATATAAGCTGATTATTCCTTTTCTGAAGTGCTTGGGAGAAGGAGTGTTTCAGATGTTAAAACATTTTCGTATGCATAATGAGATATCTTTGAGTTAGGATTCGAGTCTAAACATGAAATCCACTACGTTTCCTCTATACCTTATGTACATGGCCTGGAGGTGTACTTTTATCAAAGCATGTTTAGTGCGCCTGTGCGAACCATTACATGACGTCGGGTGTGGAAATTTCTACTTGTGGCATCATGTCAGTGCTAAAGAAGAATCAGATTTTGAAACATTTCATGTTTCACATTTGTGGATCAGAGATACAAACAACAACAGAGATCAGAGAACAACTAATAGTGTTCATGGTCCACAAATTTAGCACGCTAAATGAGTAGCTATTATGCATATTGCCCATGTTTGAATAACAAACTTCCTTCTTTCTGAATTCCAGTCCACAAACTATTTTGCACTTTTTTTTTCAGTACCAGGGAGCGAACTCATGACCTTGTATTTGCCAGGCAGGTGCTTATGGCACTGAACTATCTCCCCGGCACGCAAACTATTTTGAATTGCAAACCAATTATTTCCCAAATGTAGAACTGCTGAAAGATCACAGGAACTTCTTCCTAAGAGTAAAGAGGGCCTCACCAACAGGAAAGGCAAATTGTGCCCCAGTTGTTGGGACTACAGTCCCATCCATACAGGAATATGGTTTTCTGTAGGTCTGGAGTTCAAGATGAAATGTTTGAAGATGCCCAGTAGCTTTCCAAGTCACAGAAAGAGAGAGAGGGCTGGGGGGAGGAATAAGAAACACAATCAGGCTGTTCTCACTGGAGGGACACCATGAAAGTCACCCTGAACACCAGTTTTAAAACACTTTTCTGAAGGAGGATGAGGAATGTATAACCTTTGTTCAGACTGAAGAAAATGAGGCTGACTTGGCCATGTTGCTCACCCCTGTCTCCCTGTGCAAGGCACAGTATCCAGCAGATTCTCCATAAACATCTGCATGATTAAACTGGGCATGGTGGCACACACCTATAATCCAGCTCTTGGGAGGCTGTAAGCAGGTGGATCACTATGAGTCTGATCTAGTAGTAAGACCCTGAACACCCTGTAGACCCTTCCCAAAAAAAAAAAAAAAAAAAATCTACTTGACTGAATAATTAAATTTCTAGTCAGTGAATGAGTAGAGAGACACATCTTCTTTGACATCATTCTGTTCCTTTATGGGCTGAATATCCCAACTGCAGAAGAGCACAGTACAGTGCTTTTCCAATACTCCTCACGCCTGAGGTACACTGTGCCTGATTTCACCCTTCACTTGGGAACTGTTTTCTCTAGAGCCTTGGTCAGCTTCTCTTATTCCATGATATTAGGATAATAATACAAACCTTCCAGGATTGCTAAGAAGATTAACTAAACAAATACATGGAATAAACTCAATACACTGTTTCATAATTTATCACATCTTCATATGATCCCAAAATGGCACTAAAATTATGAAAGAGATTTTTATGAAGATTGCAACTTACAGATAAAAGATTTGCCCTTTGTTATGAAAAATAATATACAAAAGTTGAGAATACTGTGGGCCTCTTTGTACATCATTCCGAGTGTTAATAATTACTGAGTTGTAGCCATCCACCCTGTTGGGAGCCACAGAAGCTGGAAGTTGTAGGTGGGAAT